ATGTCCTTTGGCCTCGTTCTCTATATGTGTGTGTGCGTGTGTTCGTTTGTCTGTCAATTGAAAATGAAATATTGCCATAGGGTAAAATAATATACACATCTGTATAATTCTATTTAATTTTTCCAATGGCAGCACACAATTTAGTTAGTACAATTGTATGTCGGTGCGACGTGTGTGTCTGTTTGTGTGATATGTCATGTCAAAAGTACATGGTATATCCATATATATTGGATTGTATATTAGGATAGAACACACAAGATTGAAAATATTGATATGAGATAATATAGGGTAGAGATATTAAATATTAGTTTTCAAACTCAGTTTTCGATAGTGGTATCCGTGATGTGCAGAATACGCTCTAAAGTTATTTCTAGCCTAAAAATCACTAGGTCGGATTGCTGCAAACATTTGCATTTATATAATTCAAAACTTCTATAGAAGATAGCATTACTTAAGTCAATTTTTAAAATTAAACCACGTGATCTCTTTTTATATAGACTTCAAGAAGTTATCCTTATATCATCCTTTAATTTCCATTTAAATTTCAAGGACATTTTCTTTCTTTGTTAGCAATAATTTAACTCCCAGCCCATTTTCTGCTCCACATGACAGTATTTAAAATCGTAGTTAAATTCTGCACATATGTCGCTTATACGAAAATGACGACAATAACCATTATTTTTGCCATTCCCCATATAAATATCTTCTTGCTTTACATATTCTTTGTGGTTGTCTTATTTAATCTTTTTTAAAAAGGAGTTTTGTATTTTGTTCGCAAGATAATATGTTAATATTGCAACCCATGTTTATTGTTCCGAGATATTCAAATGTTTTCACTTAAACATGTAAAGACGGTTTAAGGCAATGTTTTTTGTTTCATAATAATTTATATATGACGTATGAAAATGCAGGAATCGCACAAGGCGAGAATTTTATGAAAATATGGCATGGATTAAAAAAAATATTTTTTAAAATAATAAAATTAAAAAAAAAACATTTCAAACATATTTTTCAATTTTTTGTCAAGGACATGCAGAATATTCTTGGAATATTAGCTCATGGGTTATCAAAAAACTTATTTTTTGAAAAAATTGATTTTTAAAATAATAAAAAATTAGGATTTTTATGGGAATATTTTTCAAGGACAATTAAAAGGCGTGTAGTGTAAAAGAATGTTTTTCAGGTATTATTAAATGGATTGTTTTTTTTAGATTAAAAAAAACATAGAAGGCGTAGATTTAAAAAAATAATTATAGAAGGCGTAGATTTTTAAAAACAATTATAGAAGGCGTAGATTTAAAAATAATTGTAGAAGATGTAAAAATCTACAAGGCGTTGACTTGAAAAAAATATAAGGCGTAAATTAAAAAATGTAGAAGGCGTAGATTAAAAAAAATAGAAACGTAGATTAAACCAGTGAGGATGTTTATTCCGAGTCTGAGCAATATTTCGAGATATTTGCCCCCTCTTGTCCGATTAGAGGTCAAAAACCCCTCTTCCTTACTTTTTTCGCATATTCAGTACAGTCCTTATAATTACTTGTCCAGATTACCTTCACGGTGGGTTGTGTTGTGATTTTCGGATTATACTCTACTCGAAAACACACAAAAATTATGTTTTCGGTCCATTTCATCCCAAAATGTTAATCTGATCATCACCGAAAATTATAGGCGTTGTTCTTGACCATAACTGGAACTTCATGAAAAATTTCAAAGTCATCAGCGCCATATTTCTCCCTCTAATGTGGTAATGGGTTACTAAATAATATCTGAATACGTAAGCACCTGTAAATATTTGACTGTAACTCCCACATATATTAGATACATCACTATATTTGGTATCAATTTAAAGGCCAACCACTCCTCTTGGATATGCTATCAACTCCTGGGGTCTAAATTTCCAGGAGTAAATATAAATACCATAGAATACAAATTTTGTCATTTTTCACACAAAAGTCAGGGTCCATTTGACCCGCTAAATATTGACCGATCTTTATCAAGACATGCATGCTTATTCTCTGGCCCGATCCCCTTCTTCATGCTAAAATTCGCGGTGTTTGGGCCATAATTGCGGCCTCAGGAGCGACCAGAAAAACCGACAAAAATAATGTTTTTGGTCCATTTCATCCCCTAAATATTAACCGATCTTTTCCAAAAACAATAGGGGTCTTCATTGGCCAGAATATCCTACATGCAAAATTTCGTGAAGATTGGCGATAACTGTGGCCTGTATCGTGTTTACAAATTATAATGGACAGACGGACGGACGGACGGACACATATATATCTAGATCGACTCAGCTAGTTTTATGTACGATCGGTATACTTAAAGGTGGGTCTAGGACTAATATTTCACGGCGTTACAAACATTTGGGGCTGCACAAAGCTATACTACCCTGACAACATAGTTGTGTAGGGTATAATTAGATTTTTACAAAATATCTTTCGAGGACTATCAGAAGGCGTAGATTTTCCCAAAAATATTTTTCAAGGACTATCAGAAGGCGTAGATTTTCTCAAAAACAGTTCTGGTATATTTTCAATGAAGGCTTAGGCACATGATAAACATGGCGTAAATGAAAAAAAAAGTTCCCCAAGGACCTTATGTAGTCGACTCGACTTTTGTTTTATGTTTAAACTCCCAAAGGTCCGGTATATTTTTATATATTTCTTCTCTTAACACCGAAGACCACAGAAAGTCGTGTACATTTTTTATGAATATGGTTTCGAGAATTCTTAAAATTAGCCTATGAATCAATATTTTTATAAGAATGGTATTGAGTTACTTATATCCAAGATTGATATGAAAATAAATTTCAATGTTTTCCCCAAAAAAAAACATAAAAAAATACTACATATATATTTTTTCACATCTGTTTAACATTTCCCATCTAACATATAAATATTCTTCTTTTTTCGCAAAATCCAATTTCTTTGCTAAAATATCATTATATGAAAATGGAAAATTATTTTACTCCCCCTGCACAAATCATGAAATGAACATCTAACAACATATCCAAATGTTAGCATTTATTTGCCAAACGAAATCGAAAAAGGGGCAAAAGGACCAATAGTAGAAATTGACATAAAATGTAGCGAATACAAATCGCAATACATTAAACTGATTTATTCTAATTTGTTATGCATGACATAAGCCATCAATACCCAGATACCCTTTTTTCGATTTGAAGGAAACGTGAAAGAATACCTACGTACATACGTACGTAGATACACCCACTTCACTTCCAGCGATTAGATACTACATTTCACGTAATATTCCGTTAAGGTTATAACACGAAATAAATATTACCCTCCGAAAAATAGCAGCAACAACAACAACATCGACCGAAATTTATGCATTTACCATTTACTCGAGAAAAGGGGAGAGTGAGAAAAAAATACAATATTTCCCCCTTCCATATTTCATCTAGTTCGTTCGCTCGTTCATTTTCCACTTGTGTATTTTTATTGAATACAGTATATTTTCTGTTATTTTGGGGAACCCTGCTGTAGGAAGGAAAACCTTTAACTTTAATGGAAAAATATTTGTTATTTATTTAATTTTTTTCTGTCGTTCTTCTTCTTCTTTTTCTCTACTCTTCCATATCTTTTTTGTAAAAAAACAACAAAATTTGAAATCTTTTAGGTGGTGAACTCACGTCGCGAAACGGATGCGGGCGTATATTGGTGTGAAGCTAAAAATGAACTGGGTGTTGCACGTTCACGTAATGCGACACTACAAGTGGCTGGTAAGTAGTATTCAAGAATTTCATTTGGTTTCGTATTGTTGCTGCTGTTCTGTTGTTATTGTATTTCATTGTCTTGAAGAAAACTTTAGTGTTGTATTGTCAAGAGGTTGAAGACAGCTAAAATACAATTTGAAAATGAAAGAGAAGTATAACGTTGAAGAAAATGAAACATAGATAAGCAATTTTTACCATTGAAAAAAAAAATGAAAAAATATATTTTTTATAAAATTTAAAATTGTTAAAAAAATACAATTTTAAATATACATCTATCAAAACAATTTTAATTTTTTTTTTTTCAAAGACCGACATAAGTCGTGATATTTCACTTATTTTTAAAAGACTCAGACAAGGCAAAAATGTTCTAAAGAAATATTGTTTGAAGGACTTACAAAAGGCGTCGGTAATATATATATATATATATATTTTAAGGACAAAGACAAGATGAGCTTCTTAAAAAACGTACTTATAAGGACTCACATAAATGACGATTTATTAAAAATAACATATAACATATATAACCAGTAAGGATAGTAGCAAAGTCGGACTGGGCCGACTATATGATACCCTTCATACTGATACTTTGGGGATATTCTACATATGTATCTTTACAGATGTCGTCTTTTCGAAAGAACATTGACATGAAATTGAACGAACTTAAAAATCCGAACTTTATCTATAAGTAAACCTACTAATATCAATCCTTACGCATGCCATTCTGCAACCTATTCCATACTTTTTAAATAGACTTTAAGCAAACTTTACGCACGCTATTTGGTAAGCTTCTTAGCACACATCATTCTGGACCCAATTCAGTACCCTATGCCAAATTTCGTGCACATCGAAAGATATATAGGGACTTTGGAGACCCATTTACCTTAAATCGGACGAATATATATATATATATATGGGATCTATATATAAAACTGACCCGAATTTCACGAAACTTGGCACATGTCATTCTTGGCCTAATTCAGTACTATATGCCAAATTTCGTAAAAATCGAAAGATATATAGGGACTTTGGTGCCCCATTTACCTAAAATCGGCCGAAACTATATATGGGAGCTATATCTAAATCCGAACCGATTTTCACGAAACTTAGCACACAACATTCTAGACCTAATTCAGTAGGCTGTACCAAATTCCGTCCAAATCGAGAGATATATAGGGACTTTGGTACACCATTTACCTAAAATCGGGCGAAACTATATATGGGAGCTATATTTAAATCTGAACCGATTTTCACGAAACTTAGCATACATCATTCTAGACCTAATTCAGTAGGCTATACCAAATTTCGTGCAAATTGGAAGATATATAGGGACTTTGGTACACCAAATTCAATAGGGTTCGTCCTTGGGCCAAATAAGTGAGCTGTGCCAAGTTTCATCTAAATCGGATTATAAATGCGACCTGTACTTTGTTTACAATTTAACATCAATAGACGGATGGACGGACATGCATAAATCGACTCAGAAAGTGATTCTATGCATATTCTCAAAAGGAACCATGGGTCTATCTCGATTCCTTTTGCCTGTTACAAACATATGCACAAAGACATAAACCCTGTACCACAGTGTGGTGAAGGGTATAACAAGGCTTAGATTAGATAAAGGGAAAGGCGATGATTTTTCGGAAAGTGTATAAAATCTAGAGAAGAGAATATTTTTCATTTAAGCCATACAACTAAAATTTTAAATTTCTTATTTATAATAAAATCAAATTCCACCTTTTTCATTTACAAATCACAATATTCCATGTCAGCCAAAAATCTCCATTCTCCCAATCACGCCCACATATTGGTTCGTAAGACCAAATATAGAACATAATGACAAAATATATATGTAGGCTAATGTGTATTTGACTTTTTACCACACACACAGACAAACATTATTCACCCACCAAAAAAGGCTAAAAATAACTTAAAGATTGCTGAACACATTTCAATATTTGCATAAAATTTGCCTGACGATAAAAAGGCATAACGACAATTGCTTTTCCTCTGATTCGATTGCCTTAAAATTTTGTTGATATTTCCACCTAGGAAATTTTATTTCTTTTTTTTCGCTTTCCATTACCTCCTTTCATTCCCTATCATTCAGTGTTTTCGAACTACAGCAATGGAATAAAACCCCTCTCTGACATACATATAACATTCCAAGTTTTGAGATTTTCTTTTCTGGTTTTTGTCTTCAGGCTTTTGGCAGCAACGAGTCTTAACATATCGTTAAATGTGTCAGTTTTGGTTCTTGAACATGTCAATATTTTGCAGTATTTTTTACCATTTCCATTTCTTTTGTTGTTGTGTTTCTTTCGTTACGAACCGCATAAGCCCCTGGGGAAAATAACGAACAAAAAAAAAATAGATATATATTGGGTAGAAAAAAATATAAAAAAGTAGAAAAAAGCTCTCCATGAAACCAAAAGAAACCGCTAACAGCAAATTGGGCGATTTAGAAATATTAAATATTTGTTTCGCAATATTTTTCTCGTTGATGGCAGCTAAAATAAACGAATAATGAAAAGGGCGTTATTATTGAGAGAAGAGCATCGCAAAAAAGGGAAATCACAACTCACAATTTTGTTATTTTCTTTGGATTTTTGTCTTATTTGAAATTTGATTTTCAACGTACTCGAATTCATTAAGACAACAGAATAATTGAAATATTTTGAGAATTTTTCTGTTCTAATAATGTCTGTAAGTATGGCTAAGATTGTCTTTTGGAATTTATCTCATATTTAAGAATATCTATGTGGAATTTATTAATAATAGGTTGTACAAATATTTTAGAAATATTTAGAAATATTTTAGAAAATTTGATCGGGAGGTTATTAATTAGAGTTATTAAAATTATTAAATTGTTAATCCAAATTCCAAAAATTTAGGGGATGAAACTAAATCAGTCATATTTCCAAAAGGGAGTGAAACAATAACTGAATCCCAACAATAATCATCCCTAGATATTTTAATTTACTGACCATAACTTTACAAAAAAGAAAGGTCTAATGTCCCCGCCGATAGGCGTATCAAGAAATACTCTTGGGACAATTTGACGTGGCTATCAGGCATGACTCTGTTTCGATATATACTTAATGTTGATCTTAAGGCAATCGGTCTTAGGGTGTTTGGTTTTGACTATGGAATTCATAGGTAAAGGTATGGTACATTATTTGTATACCCTACACAACTATGTTGTCAGGGTATTAAAGCTTTGTGCAGCCCCAAAAGTTTGTAACGCCGCGAAATATTGGTCCTAGACCCACCTTTGAGTATACTGATCGTCATATCTCGACTAGCTGAGTCGATCTAGACATGTGTGACCGTCCGTCAGTCCGTTTGTCCGTCTGTCCATTATAATTTGTAAACACGATACAGGCCACAGTTATGGACCAATCTTCACGAAATTTTGCATGTAGGATGGGTTCTGGCCAATGAAGACCCCTATTGTTTTGGAAAAGACCAAAAACTTTATTTTTGCATGGAGAAGGGGATTGGGCCGAAGAATAAGCATGCCTGTTTTGATAAAGATCGGTCAATATTTAGCGGGTCAAATGAACCCTAACTTTTGTGTGAAAAATTACAAAATTTGTATTCTATAGCTTATATATTTACTCCTGAAGGACATAGAGTCAAGAAGTTGTCAGTCTATCAATGAGGAGTGGCTGACCTTTAAATTGATACCAATTATTTTGTCGTAGGTACTCGGATGCGGGAGTTAGACTTAAATATTTACAGGTGCTTACGTATTTATATATTATTTAGTAACCTATTACCACGCTGATCGCTTTGAAATGCCCCATGTGGTTGCATTTATGGTCGAGGACAACGCCTAAAATGATACTTTTCGAGTCGAAAGCCGAACATCACAACACAACCCACAGTGAAGGGAATCTGGACAAGTAATTAGAGGTGCTGTACTGATTATTGGTAACATTGGCTGACCGCTAGCCAGTCAAAATTGTGCAAATATCGCGAAATATTGCCCAATCTCAGAATATAGAACCACAGAAAGTTAGATTTTCATGGAAGTTGTGTAGGGTATCGTATGGTCGGCCCCGTCATTTGTTTGTTGTGGCCGGAACAGCTTTTATTCTCCACTAACTTGTCGCAATTTTTGTTCCACCCCTTTTTTCACAAGATGCTTCTCGACCAACCAAGGATAATTTCATATTGCGATATTCAAGACTTTCATCTTCACATTGATCAGCCAGGTTCGAAAAAAATACGGAAGATATGTGGAATATTTTCTCAAATCGGATTCAAAAACAGTTGTTCATTTTTTTATTTCAGACCAAAAATGTATCGTATTATTTAAAGGCAACCATTCAATACTCAGAACTTCATGATGAATTTGAAAATATTTTTAAAAGGTCTTATGATGATTTAAACGTATAATCATTTAGGGAATGTTCTTCTATTTTCGAGCAATAAATTATATTTGCGTATACTTATTCAAATATAATTGTGAATCATACGCAAACATGAGCCCATAATTATTATAAATCATGTGGCTTGGTGCACCGAGAATATTAATTAAATGCAACTAAATTATTTTGCAATAAGGCTATTATCCTAGATCCATACAGGCATAACGATCTATATATTGGTTGGGGAAAAATAAATCCATTATATTGGCGTATACTTATTAACATATTATTGTAAATCATACGCAATGTGGACCCATAGTTATTATTAATCATACGTTTAGGTGCACCCACAATATTAATTAAATGCAATTAAATTTTATACAAACATTATATTGGAATGTATGCAGTACAGTATTACCAACTTTTTGCAATCAAAGGCTATTTTTGCAATCAAAAGGCTATTATCCCAGGCACATTCCGGTATAACAATCTATCCATGCTTTATTGGTCCATTATAAATTATAATCAGTCGCCTGATAAGCTGAGTTGATTGTTTATTATTTTTCTAGCCGTCCTGCATCCTTCACAATACTTTCTGATAAATATTGAATATGTGTGTAAATCATACATTAT